ATAAAAACATTGCAACACACATTTGCATTAAAATTCAACAGTATGACATACAGAAATCCCTTGCTGTCTCTAAAACATAAAAAACCACGGAGCAAGACCCACCCTGGTACAGTGTACCTGATGGAACCACTGTACTAGGCTGTAAAATTCAACATTTTAATTCTCTCAATTAAGTCAGTTAGGGTAGCATAAATAACCCATATGTATGTACTACGGAAGTAAAGCTTTAAAAGATGCACACAACTTTATTTTTTTCCCCTTAGTCTGCAACAGTGGCTCCCAATCAGTGGTCCACGGACCTTCACAGGTGCTGCTCATACCTCCTCTGGAATTGAGCATAGGCATTGAACCTGGGAGACAAAATGTACAGACAAACTCTCTCAAGTATATAGTAGATAATGAAGCCAAATGACAAATAGTCTGGAGACAAAGGACAGGGGAAAAAACCAAAAGCTAACCAAACTTTAGGTAAGGGGTGCATAGTCAGTGGCCTACCTGCTGGATGCTGTTCTGTCAGGCTTAGCCCCTGGAGGGCCTCCAGATGTTTTATTTACCTGTGTGTCCACAAATATGGCCGCTCACAACTCCTGTTGGCCCTGATTCACTGTTCCAGAGGAGTCATCTCTTTTCAAACATCCGTCTGTAATATCTTTTCTTTTTCTGTCCTTGTGTCAGGGACTTTTTTATATTCCAATTCCCCAAGGCTTGGTAGGCAGAGTTTTTAAAATTCAGTGGTTCTATTGGTAGCAACTTTCATTGGTCTTTCAGGGCAAAGCTATTCAGTGGTTGACAGTCCTATTTTATTTCTCCAGACATAGTTTATTCTACATTCCAGGACCCTGTCACCAAATGGATGACCTAATTCACAATTACTGATATAAATCCTTAATATCATTTATGGTTGTATGTTGATACAAACATATTCCATAAACTATCACAAGACTATTCCCTTCCTCCTGAGATTTATCTTCTGCAGTGTTGAAAAAATGGAATGTACTAATTTCTATACAGAGGTGGACGGCTCTACCTTGTTTGATCAGTAGGTAATAAAAAAAAATCTGCTTGAGTATGTTTAACCCATGCCATGTCTCCTCATCAATCTAAACATACAACCAAATAAATTAATAGTGAACCAGGATTTACATTCAAAAGCATGATTCTGGAAACACTTGCACATATGGGTAACTTTATGCCCATGAATAGCTTGTATATAAAATTGTTTGCAGGCCAAGGATACTTTTTAGTCTGTAGGATCAGACCCTAATTATGATTTTTTTGGACTGATATTATACTTTCACAGGCAGTGAAGTGGACACTGATTTTTAGATGCCTCAGATTTTGTGTGCTATGAAGAAGGTACTAATACAACTACTGTAAAACTTTGATGTGATGATATAAATGTTAAGTCAGTACACCAAACAACTTATCTTAGAAGAAACAAAGGTTTCCTTTAAACAACATGTACACATCTTTTTTATGTGCATAAACACTACTTGAACAAGTCCCCCATGCATGGAAGCCAAAGAGTAGTAAAATAACACACAGTTTGTCACACACAGGGCCAAATTCCAAGCTGTAGTACATTCAATAGCCTACCTTTACAGTGAAAACTAGGCACCCTGCAAGCCTGTATCAGAAGACATATTAATAAAGTAAATAATACATTTACTTGTAAATGGTCTTCACTCCCAGACTATATGCTATCCCTAACTGTAACCAGATACACTTTATTCTTCATTTTTTAAAAAATTAGGTTTAATTTCTTCTTTCAATGCAAATTCTAGCACAGCGTTAACGGAGAAGCTGGTGTATTACCTCTGAAACATCATATACTGTGAAAGGCTCAAGTTTTGTTGACCAGTTCAATATGTTAATGTCAACTATAATTATAAGAAGTGTATGCTCCCCTTTTGCAGAAGCTAAAGCTAAAAAAAAAAAAAAAAAGAATGAGAGGAGGGGAGCCACCTGCCATGCCAGAACTCCAGGCTGCAGATCCAGCAGGAAAGTGAGTGGTGAGTGTTGCTGCAGAACTCTGCAAACAAGGTGGGCAGGCCTCAAATTTTTTGCATGGTCACATCTTAGAGGGAACCCTGAAGATAAGGCACATGAATATGAAAATCAAAATGGAAAAGAACGGGCATGTTATTTAAGATGGATGTGTTGTTTTTTCCTTGCTTTATTCATTTATCTTAGACATGATGCAGTTGTATTGAGGATGACAGAGACATAAAACGCAGCATTTGAAAAAAATGCTAGACTTCAAAGAATATATAAAAGTACTTATGTCAATTGTCAAATGGAGGTAGAAAAAAAAAAGAAGAGACACTTGCTAAACTTTAATTAGAAATAGCTGTCTTGTCATTATCCAGAGAAGATAATGACAATTCACATTCATCGTGGAAATAGCATGTTAGTTGTTTGCAGTCAGAGTACTCATAGCAGTCCTAGCAAAGAGTGCCGCTACAGTTTAAAGATAGTTGTTTATATTTACAGAATCAAATCCTGGCCAAGTCACCTCCCATTTAGTTCATCAGGATCAGTATTTATAACTAATTGCCCCTATTATTTTAATAACTTTTTGTGCATTCCTTTGTAATTCCCTATTCCCTGGCCTAGCCTTAATAGTTTTAGCAGTCAGAGATACTTTTATCTCCACTGTGTATGGAGAGGGGATAAACTGGAGATATATTTTGCTCCATTTTTACCATTTTAGTTAAAATGCACACGTGTATATCTTATTATATAAATAGCTCAAGTTGTGATCATTTAAATTGAGAGATTTTAGATTGTCATTGATGAACTTTAATACTTCATTTTAGGTTGTGTTCCTTCAAAATAAAATGCAAACCACTTCAAAATGCAGGTCCAGACAATAAGGCCTGTTTGTTTTAAACTGGAAAAAAGGACAAATAAAAACAGCGTATGATTTTTTAAAGAAAACATTTATTTTTCTCAGAGGTGGAACAGTCATATAAATACCCAACCTGTCATTAGAGTTTTGTGTTTGAAGATTCCCACCCTCTTCCAAACCGAGTAGGGAGTTTTCTAGAACAGAGTTCCTCTTGTAAAATTAGATCAGCATTCACTTTGACATGGGCTTGTAATAGGATTTAGCTGGCTATGTAATAGTTAATTAGTTTGCATCTTCTTTAACTTAATCTATCCTCTCTGAGATCTACTAAGTTTTAATCAGTGACACTCATTCTTCAGCGGGGAATAAGTTTTTTAGAAAAGGTAACTGGGCTTGTGGATTTCTGTGTGGTATTTATTTAATTTATGCCAATATATGTAACAATTGAGCTCTTAGATATATAAGGCTCAGCAAGGACAGATTCACCTACCCATTTTACATTAATAGTCTCTCTTATTCACTACAAGAAAAACACACTGGGCCAAATCCACTTCTAGTGTAACTTCACTGATTTTAGTAGAGTTACAGGAGGTATATCTTTGAGTTTTTTGGTTCTGTTTATACATCTCATTGTTTCTCTAGCCTCACACTCTTCTCACTTCTCAGTCTGCCTTTATAAAATTCCTCCGATTCAGCATCCTAACTCCCAAACCAATTATTGGCACAAAAGCAATGACTGTCTTATCACTGGACGCTACTGTGTATTACTGGCGAATACTTATACGGGTTGGACTTCCCTGGTCTGGCACCCTCGGGACCTGAGCAGTCCCGGATGAGGGAATTTGGTGGACAAGGGAAGGTCCTCTGCCCCTTCCCACCTCTGGCTCCTTTGGCCCCACTGCTGGCTGGCCTACGCAGCTGCCTCGACCCTACTGCCATTAACTGCTGTTCCTGCTGGAAAGCAGCCAGCATGGCAGCATGCAGCCCTGGCCCCGCGACCCAAAGCACAAGCCCCATGGCCGGCCACTACATGGCCCCACTGGGCTGCTGACCTGCGTGGCCCCAACTGGGTGGCCACAGCCCTGGCTCCACTGCCACAGCCCCAAACAGGCTTCCCCGACAGAGCTGCTGAAGCTCTGTCCCCACTGCCAGGCCAGCACGCAGCCCCCATCGGCTTGACACAGTCCCACAGCATATATAACACAGCCTCACATCTGGATCAGCACACATGGGCTGCTCCAGCCCCAGCTGGGTTGCTGGGCTGCCCATGCCTCACTACTACAGCCCCATTACTGCCGCCAGACTGCTGATGCCCAGCCCCGCTACCACCAGCCTTGCCTTGCCTGGGGCTTTCAGCTGCTGGCCCTCCTGTCCCAGGGCTCTCTCATTCAGCAACATCCATGGTCCTGCTGGATGACAGAGTTCCTGTTTAGGGAGGTACAACCTGTATTCCTTGTCTTTCTGGTGTCTTCTGAAACAACAGAATACTTAAAAGTGACTTGTGACCATTATTATTGGTGCTTCAAACTTTGGGTGCCCAAAATTCAGATACCATAGAGCAGCAGTTCCCAACCTTTTCCAGATGGAGACCCATCTTGACAGTTCAGGAAGACTTAGTGACCCAAGACAATTCAAAAATTACCTGGGGAGACACTTGGCAACCCTTTTGAATTGTAATGGCGACCCATAGGATGGGAAACCCTGCCATAGAGGGACATAACTTTCAAGAAGTGCTGAACCAACCCACTTTCCGAAAATCAAGACCCTTAAAGTGCTGCAATATGGGCACCCAAAAATTGAGACACCCAGACTCACAAGTCACTTTTGACAAGTCTCAGATGTGTAATCATGTTAGTCTATATCTGCAAAAACTATGAGAAGTCCTATGGCACCTTAGAGACTAACAGATGTATTAGGGTACTTGCATAGACATGTGGTCAGAGTTGGCAATGGGATCTGTTGCAGGGATAAGCTCCTGGGTAATTAATAACATAATAAATCTGTTAGTCTCTAAAGAGCCACAGGACTTCTCATTGTTGGAGCCACATTTATTGACAATTACAATCTGCAGAATTATAAAATATTGTGTGCATAATTTTAATTTTTGTGCATGTGCAGAATTCTTTCAGGAGTATATGACAGATCTCACCTATTCCATGAAGTACAGCAACAGTTAGTGAGGTATCATCCTCAAAAGAGTTGAATGCCTGCAGAAGCATTGCTGCTGTCTTCTGATTCACAGCATTCCTGGCTTCTGGCCTGTTAATTCCAATTGTCATGATGGTTCCATGTCTCTCAGTGACTACATTCTTCTTCCCTGTGTGGGGGAAAGAAAAACAATCAGCATGAAAGTCTACTTACATTCTTTTTAGTAAGCCATTAATACATTTTAAAAGGTCTGAAAGGCTTAAAATGTTTTGCCATTAGACTACAGAGAGATTTAAAATAAATGTAGAGGTAAATGCAGTGTATTACTTTTTACTACTTTCATAATTCCTTCATTAACATTTTAAATTGTTGTAATAGATTACTGCCAGGCTTGTATTTAAGCAACAGTAAATAAGGAGTATGAGATATTTCCTGAGAATTAAAAATAATGACCAGCTGTGAAGAGCCAATGGACTTTAGCAAAGATGGGAATCACTCTTCTGGGTGAAATGCACTATGTTGTGACTGTTACTGCTAAAAAATTAAGGAAAAAAGTTATTTTAAAAGCTTCAACTGGCATTACGGGTACAAGAAATTTCCACAGAATTAATATTAAGCAAATCAGGCAAGGAGGTAACCTTGATAACTGCCCTTGATAACTCATTTTACAATCAACATTCACTTTTAATTAGATAACTATCAAGATTGTTTAAAGTAATAAAATAATATTTACTGCAAGATACAGAAACTCACTCTTTTCACCAAAATAGAAAAATTCTGCTCTCAGTGTAAGTAGTTAGTAAAAAACACAAGAGTAAATAATTTAAATGTACCTACATAACACAGCACAATGAAGATTCTAGGCACTGCATGAATTCATAAGGACCTACACCAGAAAAACCCAGCAATGACACTAAGGGAAGAATTTGGCTCAGGACATGTATTTTTACATATATTCTAATGTTTTCACTGTTCATAACTGAAAATGTGGCAGTTTTTCCTTTAATGCACTGGTCCATAGGGACCTGACATCTGAAATCCAGAAAAAAACAATGTGACAGATTCTCAACTGGTGTAAATTGGCCCCCTTTCCCTGATCTCAATTCAACAAAGCTGATTTACAAAAGATGAAGATATGGCCCAGTTATTCACTTCTCATGGGGCAGTCCAGAAGACCTGAGGATCTGAGAGATCACATTTTTTCATGTGCCATTCTTTCAACGCTGTAATTGACAGAGGTATGTCCATATTACAGAGAAAGGGAGTCTCTCAGCAGGATGTTTCCTGAACTTTGGAACTTATTTCCTGCATTGGCCCAAAAACTGACTGAATCTGTTGATAGTCAGGGCATACCACATAGCTATCTATTTACACAACCTATGATCCACATAAATCCCATTTAATGCCGCAGAACAGGACTTCACCCTTCATGAAGCAGAGAGATTGGGGAAAAAGAGCAGAACCCGGCTTTAGAATCAAGAAATTCACTGCTATTCAAAAATGAAACATGAAGCTAGGGCTTTAGAATCAAGAAATGAATTGCTATTCAAAAATGAAACATGAAGCTAGTGGCAGAGCTCAGTTAAGTAGAACACTATATCCAATAGCAGTTCATTAAGAGTCCAGCACCCTTAATTCGAAAGGGGGGTGGGGAGCTTGAGTCACCAGCTGTATAGTTTACTCTTTTTTTTCATTTCATCACTATTGTTTCACTCTGTCCAGCACCAGGTGAAGACACCTCTCTAAGCAAAATATCTATCTCATGAAAGAAATGGAGGCCCTGTCCCGCTCCTGGGCAGTTCTCCAGCCAGGATGCTAACAGTCTTCACTCTCCTTTCTGTTGTAAGCATCATCAGGCCAGATTCACTGGCACACACGTGTTTTGTGCCACTCTGATGAGACAAGGTGGCCATAAACATGGCTGTCTTATCAGCTATTTTGCGAGGGGGCGAAGCAAGCAGAGTGTAAATCAAATCTGAACCATTGTCTTCAGCGTGCCGTACAGTATTTCATGCTGAGATCCAATCTCCCCCCTCCTCCCCCCAAAAAGGAATGTTATCAAAACACATTAACATTTCTCTCCACCCTCCCAAAATCAAGACATTTGGTTTTGGTTTTCAAAGCTCAGAAATAAACTGCTCGGAGCCACCTCTACATCGGCTTAGAATCTGCAGTCCCCACTAGCCGGCCCGCATGAGAAGCGGGACACATTACTCAGCATTTAACGCGGCTCCTTCCCAAAAGAACAATTCGTTCCAGAGATGGGCATTTGACGTGACCGAAGATCCTCTCCAAAAGGAAGCTATTAGGGAT